CCCCAAAACCCCAAAACCCCAAAACCCCTCAAGAAGAGTTAATAATTGTCAAATTAATATAATATGGAGCATATTCTTGTCAAACTAAATAATCATTCAAGACCAGTGTAAGCCTGTGAGATCATTTCTATAGCAAAAACACAATAAAAAAGCTGGTTAAATTAAGAACCTTCAAACGCTCAACTACATCTCTTCCATTCCGTCAGCTCAGAAGCCTTAACAAATTAGCAGAAATTAATGAGTGACAAGGGAGAGAAAATGAATTACCAAAGGAACAGGAGCGACATGTAAAATCAATCGATACCCGGTCTATGAGCCCATTCTCACAAATCAAGCATGATGTTGAAAAGTTTAGGGTAAGTACCATATCCGATTTGACTCAACTTCCAAAACTGCCCTTTGTAACTGTACCACTTATCATCAGTGTTTAGAGTAAATAGTTACAAAAAGACAGGATTTCTTAATTTTCACGTCTTCTTAAACACCCACACTACTGAATATCAACTTCTCCAAAGTGATCTAAATCATGTGTTTGAAACTTTCGAAATTTTCGAAAGTCTGTTAGTCCCTAAAATTTCAAAGTTTAACTAATTATTTGCCTAACTTGGTCTAACTTATTCGTGTAGATGACCTTCAGCTCGAAATGAGATGGATTTCTGAGGTAAACTCTCAGTTATACCAGTTTAACCCTTTTAGCCTCTGCATGGTAAACTAATTATAATATAGAAATGGCAAGCAACCTGCCAAAGTACAGTTTGGACCGGACTCTCAGGGGCCTGCTCAGAAGGCTAAAAAGGATCGCAATATAAGTCGGAATGATAGTCGTGTCAATTCACCAGCCACCAGAGGGCTGGTAAAGCACTTAAAGAAGAAAGTTTCAAAAGTATCGAAATTTCGTATGATTTAGTATTTATCAACTTAGAACACTCCATGGTTACCCCACCCTCTTGAGATCTCTATGAAGACCAGCTCGATGAAATCCCAGAAGACGGCTTCCCAAGAAATGATTCTAACTCAAAGTCACTTAAAAGTAAGCATCGAATTGGCTTGGCTTCTAAATAATTTTCATAGGATTTCCAAATATTACTACTCAAAATCGGAAGACTAAGTTTCAATTAAAACCAGTCTTCGAAAAAGACCGTAACTCACTAGATTTGTAAGTCGCACCAGTTGATAACTTAGACGAAGGGAGCTACTTTCTGTAACAGTAAAACTAAAGAAGATGTCTGAGGTTCAAAATATCTTAATCCAACGCTCTTCAGAAGTCAAGAACAAAGATTTATATTTCTCTCCAAGGACAACTAAGACTTCACTGATTTCCCAAATTAAGAGTTCTAAAATGAGTAGGTTCAGTAACGCCCGGACTAACTACTCATCTATAATTTCTACCAAGAAGGGAATTTGAAAATCCCCAAATCCAAGGTCCTTCATGTCTCTAAATGTAGTGTTTTATGTTAAACCTTATAGCCTATCAGTTGTAACTTTACCAGCCACAGAAAGGAACTGTCTCAGTTAGAAGAGGTATTCTCAACCCCAAAAGAATACTATGGAGGCTCTAGACAGCCCCAAAAGTTCCTAAGTCCAGACAACATTCGCTTAAAGAGATACCTAAACCAGAAGAATGAACAGAATACTCGGGGAAGACTCAAGAAGATGTTCCAAGTCGGTGCCAAAAGACCTAGAAATTTCAAGAACCGGAGAAGAATGCGTATCTAACTTTATTGAAAATATTTAACCTTATCTTAACGCGTTTGATAGCTTATGCAAACAAACTCAGAGCAGAGAAGTCTTAACTCTGAGTAGATCCTAGTAGACAGAATTTGTTCAAGGAATCCTTCTGTCGATCAGTTTTAGGGAATTTACACATGTTTCAGCTCATTAGGATCAGTATTTTCATGATTGATTTATTACTATTAATAAACCATTAAAGGGGTTTTGGGGTTTTGGGGTTTTGGGG